AAATTAACAGGCATGTACCTCACGTCATAGAGAACTTACCAAAAAAAAACATCAAAACAAAATAATTATATTTAGGCTCCAAAGTAAGTTTTGGTGGGGGCCGAACGCCGTCGGGTTCGGCCCCCGTACGGGACCCCGAACGCCCGTACGTACGGAGATCTGCCCGGGGACCTCCGTACGTACAGGCTGGTGACCCTGTATACGTTGTTTTTACTGAATGTTTTTTTGTGAGTACTCTATGATGTAGCCTACACGCCTATATATTTTGAAGCCATTCTGCTAAGCCAAAAAAACATTAAAAATCGTCAAAGATGCGGGTGTCAAAACGTGCTCGCCCACTCACTATTTTGTTTTTTTTCACTTTGAACTTTTTGTTTTCACTTTATTTTGGGGCCTTAATAAATTTATTATTTTTTGAAAAAACCTTAATAAAATATTCATTATGTAAACTACATATCTGTAAATTTTCACGGAATTTGACAATGCCAAAATATAATAAAAAATCGGCAAAGATGGCGGTGTCGAAAAGGTGCTTGCACACTCACTCATTCTAATTCTCTTTTTCTAGGCAACCAGAGTGGCCCGGACTCACTTGCCCGGCCGGGCCAAAAGCAATTAAAAAAATAAAAAAAATAAAAATTATTTTTGAACTTGATTTTTGTTTCTAAATTTTGTGCAGAAGTTTGATATGACCTTGAGGCAAAAGTTGTCCAGTTTATTTTTCTGCATAACATAGTTTTTTTTCGGATTCTTTTGATTTTGTTTTGTTTTTTGCTGGGACCTTCCCTGGTCCTTGCACGGGCTGGCCACCGAGACCCGGGCGGCCCGGCTGGCAGCCTAGCTCTTTTTATTTTTTCTTATTTTTATCATAGTGTTTATTTTCCGTATTTGATTTTTAATTCCAATTTAGTAACGAATTTGGATGTAGTGCCCAGGCAAATGTTGTTGCGTTTATTTTTCTCCATAACATATGTTGTTTTGGAAATTTTTGGAAAACTTTTTTTTTTTTTTTGTTTTGGTTCACGTTCGGTCTTAACGGTCGAATGTTTTCTGAAGGGGTTCCGTACGTTCGGGCGTTCGGCCCGTCCCGAACGTCGGCAACCCTATATATCGTCAAATAGAACTGCCCGGTAAACCGTAGGCAGAGAGGGAGAACCCTATATATATATATATATATATATATATATATAGGCTACGAAAGTTGCCCGGGTGGGCCCGCCCGGCCGGGCGTCCCGGGCCCGGGCTGCCTGCCCGGACTCGCCCGGGGCATCCCGGGTGTCTTATTTTAGACCGTTTTTTTTTTTTTTTTTGGAGGCAGCGCATTTTTGCGCTTTGCCTGAAGTGTCCAAATCTGCTGTTTTTTTTTTTTGTGGGTCGAGATTTGGTGGGTTTGGAGGGGGGGGGAGGGATGGGGAAAGGGGTGGGAGGGTGTGGGGGTGTGGGGGTGTTATGCGGCTTCTGATACCGCAACTCCTCCTTTCTCATTTTCTTTTCTTCCTCCTCGTCCTCCTCCTCCCACCTATCCCTCATTAAATTTAATTTTTCTTTTCCTGAAGGGCCCGCAGCCGACAATCTGCAGGGCTCCTTGGTCCCACCGTTGAGACTCATATTTTGGTTGAGAGAGGAGCAGGCCAGCAATATATATTCTGGATCCGAAGTCAGGTCTGTGTTCCAGCAGTTATGGGTTACAACTACTTACTACTGCAGCTCTCTCTTTCTTTTGCTTTCCTTTTCCTACGAGCACTAGCCCTTAGGGCCTAGCTCCACTCGTCATCACTTGCACAAAAGACAAAGCATATGGCGGTGGTGTATGGTTCCATGTTCTGGCAGAAGATTCATTCCCCTTTTTTTTTGTTTTCTTTTCCTACGAGTACTAGGCCTTAGGGCCCAGCTCCACAGGTCAGCACTTGCACAAAAGACAAAGCATATGGCAACTGTGTATTGTTCCGTGTTGTAGCAGAAGATTCATTCCTCTTTTTTTTTTGTTTTATTTTACTACGAGTACTAGCCCTTAGGGCCTATCTCCACTCGTCAGCACTTGCACAAAAG